GGAAGGATCCCCGTGGTAATCCTCGTGGTATCATCTATGGTGATGGCACAGTTTTCCTATACACCTATAGTCGAAAACAGCACACAATGATCCTAATGGCGGCCACCATGCCTCCCGGTGATGCAACATGGAGAATCACGCTGAAGAAGCTAGATGTGCCCAGAGGTAGGCTTTTGGACGTAGCGTGTCACAATAGCAAGATCTATGTGCGCGCATGCGACAAGTTAGTGCCAAGGTTGAATGCAATCAGTGGAAGAGACTACGTCTATGGTGGCACGCTATCTTTTGAAATCCCGTGGCGAGCTTATATCGGCATCCGTCCTACATGAGCATGGTTGGCAGGTCAATGATTACCCGCCATCGGGCCCACTCTTGATGAAATTGGAAGCGCCGGAAGAAACGAACGGGGACGGCAAGTTGAGGTGGGTGGAGAGAGAAGGACGGAGCTTGAGCGACCGTGTTTTATTCCTTGGTTCCCCGGCTAGCTTCTCTGTGGACGCCACGGAGCTAGGCATGGACGGCAGGTGTGCCTACTTTGTCCTTGGGGCCTGTGTGTTTAGGTACAACTTCATCAACGGCGAGGCAAAACTCCTGGAGTGGTTGCGCCATGGATCGGGCGCTGACGGGGTAAATTTGTGGCTCCGGCCCCAGCCTACCATTGCTCCTATTCAAGATATTAGAGAAAGGCTTGAAGCTTCAAGCAAAGAGAGGAAGGGATAATATTTCACTAGTAACTACTCGGATGAATTGAGGAATTTGAAATTATAATATAGGTGCTAGTTATGTGTCAAAATCTCCCTGGCTTTAATCTTTTGTACTCCCTCCGTCCCAAAATAATGTCTCAAGCTTGTACAACTTTGTACTAGAGCTAGTACAAAGTTGAGACATTTATTTTGAGACGGAGGGAGTATCTAATAAAATTATACTCTTTGATGAAAGTGCGGAGCTCTAGTAGAATCTTGCACACAACTGGCTGCTATATCAAAGCTTCTTCATCTGTGGTACAGTACAGTCGCCGAATTGCTCTCATCAAAGATAAACGTAGTATTGAGAAAAGTGAACCACCAAATTCAGACACACGACACCAAAGCCGTTGGCTCCGCAGCTTCTCCTCCACATCTGCGCACTGACGGAGCTTCTGTGTCTTGGCATTGGTATACACCGCAATGTCCATCAGAGCATTCCCATCCATGTTCAGCAGGACATATTTCATCATCAGGTAAAATCCATACTCTGCGCCTGATAGAAGATCACATAATATAGTTAGTCACAAATTTCTCTGGATGGTCTGCTTCCGAAATTATGTAAGCTCTGTTTTTTGGGGTGATCAAGCAACAACACCTGGG